GAAACAAACAAACAAACAAACGATTCGACACGCGAAAACAAATCAACAAAAAAAAACAAACACATTTTTTTTTAAAAATATGAACAACAAACAAACGATGAACAAGTAAAAAATTTCAAAAATTAAAAAATTTAAACAAATCGCATCAAGTGGGGGGCCGTGGTGATAATAATAATAGAAACGACAACGTTATAACCAACAACAACAAACAAACAAACGATAATGAATTGCACCGGTTCGAGAAAATTTCAAAAAGTTTGCTTTTGTTCGGATAAATGGACGACGGAAAATAGTAGCAGAAGTTTTAATTGTTCATCGTCGACCATATCGTCACTACCGGAAACGGATGATGACGATGTTGATAAAAACAAGATGAAAAAACAAGGGAAAAAAAATAAAAGTGGGATTTTCTCATCATTTTTCACGTCGAAAATTTTTTCACCTGGATTTCGTAAGGATGTTAAAACCGTTAATCCGATGCTTAAAGTCGAAAGGAGTAAGATGAAGTTTTTTTTTTCCACACAAATATTCATCATCTACGTCCTGTCTGTTCTGTTCTGCTAATTAATTACCCTCCCTCCCCCTCCTCCCTTCTCATCCTCCTGCCACTTCTCACCTTCCCCCGCCCACCTCCCAATGCTCCGCCCCCTCCTTCTAAAAAAAAAAACTCTATTAATATCTAAAAACTATAAAATCCTATTATATTACCAACCGTTGAAAAAAAAAAAAAAGTTTTTGTTAAACTATAAAAAAACAACAATTACGCACCTTTTTATTCACGATTTTAATAGCACTACTATATAAATATATATATAGCGCTATAAAAATAAATAAATAAATAAAATTTCAATATACGTTTATCGCGGTAATAAATATTTCTTTAAAAAAAAAAAAAAATCGACAAACGATTTATTATTATTATTATTATTATTACCATTATTTCGAGGGGGATATCGATTGTGACGTCATTATTTAAATAAAAAAATAAAAAAAATAAAACATTTATAGGGGAAAAAGTAATTTCGATATGAAATTTTCTTTTTAGTTTGGTAAAAAAAAACTTTTCCTTTTTGTTCGTTTGTTAATTTAAATTCGGGTGAATTAGATGACAGAGTCTAATTCCACGTCGTTGTAATTATCATTATTATTATTAGTAATTTTTTTCTTTTTTTTTTGTCAATGTTATCAATATTTTTTATCAACGACGTAATTTTTTTTTTCTTAACGTACCGTATCACGGATGAGTATGTATAAATAATATTATTATTATTATTATCATTATTATCATTTTTTTTGTCGGGCGTGGTTTTTTTTTTACTTATTACACGATTTTTTTTTTTCTAATTTTTTTCAAAATGAAATGGAAAAAGTAAAAAGTAAAAAAAAAAAAAACAAAAATTAACGTAGTTTGTGGTAATATTACAAATGTGACGTTTGTTTCATTTTTCTTTCGTGGAGAGGGGGAAAGAGGGGAAGTAGAAAATTTTTTAGGTGGGAGTAAAATGAGATGAGAGTAAAGAGTTGAAAATTTCAAGGGAGGAAAAAAGTCAAAAAAAAAAAAAAAAAAGTTCGGTCGTCGTCGTCTTACACGGTAAATTTGTACGAGTGCATGTTTAAATTATTTCGTCGTGGCATTAGACATTTTTTTTTTTCGAGCTCTCGCGGCGTGGAAGAAGAAAACACGTTTTGGAAAAATTTAATGGCAAATGACAAATGATAAAAAGTACGAAACGCGAGAATTTTTAGTAAATTATATACGTTGCACGAAATAAACTTTTCCCGCCTCCCCTTTTTTTTCATTTTTTATTTTTATTACGTTTCCGAGTACAAAAAAAAAAAAAACACGGAAAATGATTTATTATTATTATTATTACTAATATTATCATTATCATGTCGCTAATTTTTTTTTTTTTTTTTTGCTTTCTACATTTAATCCACGAAAAAAAAAAAAAAAGTTCGAAGTGTGTGGGAAAGGGGAGTAGGGAGGGTGGGAGAGGGAGCCTCAACCGTAACTTTAATTAAATTAAAAAACGTAGAAATGAATGATAATAATAATAATAATAATGATAATTTATGAATTTAGCTATAAAGGCCGCCATTTTGATTCAACAATGGTATCGAAGTTATTTGGCACGAATGGAAATTCGTAGAAGATACACGTGGACGATTTTTCAAAGTATGGAATATCAGGGAGAGCAAGATCAAGTAAAAGTAAATAATAATAAAATTTCTTCTGCTTTTATCTTCTGCTTGGAAAATGGGGGGGAGGAAAATTAAACATTTAAAAAGTTTCTCTCCCTCTCTCTCTTTTAGGTTTATGATTTTTTCAATGCTTTACTTTTACACATGCCAGAATGTTCGTTGAAAAAAGATTCGGATATCGCATCGAAAACTTCATCGATAGGTAAAAACAAAAAAAAAAAAACAAATCGATAGATCGATTGATCGATCTATCGATCGATACGTATAACACGAAATATTTTTTTTTTTTTAAATAGAATTTTCCGATAAATTCGAAGATGAATCAACGGATTCGAGTTTGATTGAAAATATCGAAGGGGGATACAAAGGCCCTCACATTTCAATACCGATAAAGTTTAAAGATTTTCAAAATCTTATAACTCATTTCAGAACGTCAAAGGTACGTCATTTAATTACGTCATCAATCAATGATGCAACCAAACTTTTTTTTTCTACAAGGATTCATTTGAATTTTTCAGCATAATTTTTTACATGCCAAATACGTGGCAGGAATAATTAAAGAAAGCGTTAAAGAATTGAAAAAACTTCCCAATTTGAATCAAGCGTCAACCGCCATATCGAAACAGATAACCATTTGCGGAGACCTTCATGGAAAACTCGATGATCTCCTCGTTATTTTTCACAAGGTAAAACTTGATATGTTTCTTTCCCCCTCTCTCGTGCCTATCTCCTCTTCCTCTCCTCCTTCCCCTCTCCCGCCGGAAAAATCTCGATATTCCGACCTCGCACGCACACACACGCACCCAAATAACATTAATATATATCATACACTACGTATTACTTTTTAAAAAATTCGTCTTAAATGGAAAATTCTAGAAAATTTTTTTTTGTTTGTCCGTTCCCCTCCCCGCCTCCTTTCCCTCCTTCTATCCCTCTCTCTCCCGTTCCGACTCAAACGTTTTTTATTTTTAAAAACATTTTCGCGGGTTTTTTTTTTTTCTCATTCAAATTGCACGGAGGGATATGTAGGGAGGATGATAAGGGAGATAATTACGACAAAATTTTCCGGGGAGAGGGAAGGGGAGGGATGAAGACACAAATTAAATTTTTAAATTTCTATTAGGTAAATTTAAACAAAAAAATTTTTTTTTTTTTCTGTGCGCGGATCACGGGATTTTCCCCACTATATTAATTTCCTAGAATTTTTTTGTTCGTGGCATTAGAGACAGACGTCACGTGATTTTTCGTTTATAGTTTTATAGAACTTACTAGTTCTTTTATAGACTATAAATAAAAAATTACAAGTTTGAATAGAAAATGTTTTAATATTTCATCATTAACGAGTTGATGTGTGTGGATTTACGCGCACGTGTTCACCGATTGTTTTTTTTAACCGTTACTAATTACCTAATTGCGTTTACATTATCATTATCATTATCATTATTATTTATCACCCGTTAAGTAAATCACTTTGTCCGCCTTTATAATACTCCCCTTCCCTCATTTCCCTTCTCCCTCCGACACTTTGCCTACCAAAAAATAAAAAAAAATTTGACACGCAAATTATTATTACAAATAAATCACTTTAATTATTATTATTATTATCGTCGTCGTCGTCGTCGTCGTCGTTATTATCATTATTATCAATAATACTGATGACGTCGTCGACTGTTTTTACGATTTGACGAATTGAAAAAGAAAAAACGAAATCGAAATGAAAATATTGAATTGATTGAATCGATAAAAATATATATTTCGGGTTTCTCGAATTTTCCGAACAATTGAATTTCCGGTTTTTTTTTTGTTGTTTCTAGAACGGACTTCCATCGACGGAAAATCCATATATTTTCAACGGTGATTTTGTTGACAGGGGAAAACAAAGTCTCGAAATACTTTTGTTACTTTTGTCATGTTTGACACTTTTTCCAGGAGGGATTTTTCTCAACAGAGGAAATCACGAAGATTTCGTCATGAATCAAAGGTGAGCCGATCAAAAAATAAACTATTATTATTATTATTATTTTTAATGTGGGGGGAGGGAAGGGGAAAAAAAAACTCGAATTCGATTTTTCCCTCCCGGAGTGGAGGAACAAAAAATTCGGATTCCTGAAACGCGTAAAATCCGTTTTAAAAAAAAGAAAAACGTTTTTATTAAAAAAATTTTACGTTTGTGCGTCGAGGGAAACATAAAATGAGGATAAACGATTAACATTTGAAAGGGTGAACATAAAAAGAGAGAGAGAGAGAGAGAGAGAGAGTGATAGAGGTCAGAAGTAGAAAGAAAGAAAGAGAGAGAGAGAGTGATGGAGGTCAGAAATAGAAAGAGAGAGAGAGAGAGAAAGAGAAAGAGATAAAAACGACAGAATAAGACAAAAGAAGAGACAATGGACAAAAACAAAAAGAGAGATAGATCAAATACAGTGAGAGAGAGAGAGAGAGAGACAGACAAAAACCGGAAATGTTTTTAAAAAACAAATAAATAAACTCAATAAATGATAATGATAATAATAATAATAATACTTATTGTTCGAAAGAAAAGAAAACAAATAAATAAATTTTTTTCCGCCTTCACGTTTTTCCGGTTGTTGGTTTTTCGGATGCCTTCGGGTTGTTTCGTAAATTTTCTTTTTCCTATAATAACCCGCGCCACCCTCAACCTTCCCCCTTTACTCTCCCCTTATTTTCTTTTTCCGTTCAACCGAAAAAAAAAAAATTTCGTACGATGACGTCGTCGCCATATTGAGAATTGAATTTAATTTTAATTTGGAGAAAATTTATTTTGATTTTTTTTCCGCAAAAAAAAAAAAAAAAAAAAAGCAGACGACAAATAAAAATACAAAAGATAAATTAATAAATATTAGAAAATTTCAATAATAATAATAATAATAATATTTTTTCAAGATATTTAAAAAAAAAAAGAAAAAGAAAAAAAATTCGACCTTTACTTCGTAATATTTATCCGTTAAAAATTAATCGTCCTTAAAAATGTCTGCTTTTAATGCCTTTTTTTTTTTGTAATTTTCTCGTTAACTTTTTTCTTCTTTCTTTTCTCTATTATTATTATTATTATTATTATTATTATTATTATTATCATCATTATCATTATTATTATTATTATTGTTGTTGTTGTTGTTATGATAAGAAAAAAAAAAAGGCAACGAACTTTTATACAAACACACAAAACAATAAAATCACCTTGAAAAAAATAAAAACGTGGGGAGGGGGGCGATCGGGGGGGATTTTTTCAAATTCGTCGTACGCTAACGAAAAAAAAAAAAAAATTCCAGAACATTCTAAAAAAAAATTTAAATTTTAACCGGAAACGATTCGACGTTTTTTCTCTTGTCATTTAAAAAAAAAAAAAAAAAAAATTTAATTTAATGATATGAGCGGCGATCACGTTCGATTAATTTTCGATCAATCGAGAGGGTAAAAAATTTTTTTTTTTTTGGGGAGGGGAAATTCGACGAAAAAAAAAAAATTCTGAAAACCTTTTTTTACCCCCTTTTTTCCCCCCTTTTTTGTTTTCAATTTTCACGACGACGATTGAAAAATAATAATAATGATGATGAGAAAAACGAAAAGAAGTAAACATTAAAAAAAGAAGAAGAGAAAACTTATATATGCCGCGAGTGATTGATTGATTGTTTTTTTTTCATTTCTTCCGTCGTTTTGAAAATATGAAAAAGGGATAAGAGAGAGGCCTTATCGGGGGAGAGGAGGGAAGGGGAGAATAAAAAAAATTTTCACGTTTCGTTCCGAATTTCTTCTGCTTCCCGAACAAAAGATTTCCGCGCCGAGATATTCAAAACCAAAAAAATTGAATTTTTATACTCTAAATGCAATAAAAGAAAACTCACACGCACACGCACACCCGCACGCACGCGGACTCCCACGTGATTCAAACACGATCGGAAAATTCAATTTTTACAACGATTAGATAATAATAATAATAAAATTATTCGTAAATGTAAATTAAATTAAAAATTAAAATCGGAAAATTAATGAAAAATTTGATTGTACTAAAAAAAAAAAAAACAAAATAAATGATGATGAATTTTTGCATTTTTTTTTTGACGTGTCAGAAGAAAAATTAAAATAATAATAATAATAAATAATCCGAGACTGTGTCGAATGAATTATTAATATTTAAAAGTAAAATAATGTTTACAAAAAAAAATTTTTACTTATTAATTTAAAAAAATAAGAAAAAAAGAAATTTTTTTAAACTTAATCAAAATGGCGCCAAATTTAAAAAAAAATGATAACAAATAAATTATCCAAAGTTTTTAATCCCTTTTAAATAAAAAAAAAAAATATTTACATCCACGATTTTTCTATTTTGTTTCTTCCACTTTTTTCTTTTCTTTCCCTCCCCCTTTCTTTCCCCTCTCTCCCCCCGCTTTTTTAATCCTATTTCAGATTTCCGACGTTCCTTTTCTTCCCTTCCCCCGTCGCCTCCCACCCGCCCCCTTTTCCGAAACTTCATCTCTTTTCATCCTTTTCGTTCCTGTTTCTCGTCCATTAATTATTATTATTTTTTAAGAAATTAAAATTTAAAAATATAAAAAAAATGTAAAATTTCCATTTTCTTTCTTTAAATGAAAAATTTATCATCTTTAGACAAAAATATTCTCCCCCCCCCTTTTTTTGATCCCCGGGAAAATAAATCATCATCAAAAACCTCCTGTCACCTTATTAATATCACTCAAACGGAAACGGAACAAAAAAGGAAAAAAAACCGGAAAAACACGATTTGAAAATTTTACTACGGTTACTTCCACCGACACGTCTTTATCTCATGGTATTAAATCAATATCTCTCTCTCTCTCTCTCTGTCTCTTTTTATTTTACAATTAATTTATTACGACAGATAAATTATCATTTAATAATTATGATGACGTCATTGAAATTTTCCTTCGAGAGAAAAAAAATGAAAGAATTTCTAAAGAGTTCCTGAGGGTCAAAATTTTCTTTTTTTTTTTTTTAATTGCGTGAGGAAATCTTTTCCTCCCTCCCCTCCCTCTCACCCCCTCTCTCATTAAAATTAATTTTATATATTTTCAGATATGGATTCGTGAAAGAAATCAAATCGAAATATAAAAAAAATTCGGAAAAATTATTGAAAATGATCGATTCCGTGTACAGGTGGATACCTTTAGGTACGATAATTGATAAGAAAGTTTTGGTCGTTCACGGTGGAATATCAGATTTAACGGATTTGGATTGTATAAAAAGAATCGAAAGGCAAAAGGTAAGCATAAGGTTTTACATTCTTTTTACAATACTTTTTCCCTCCGCCATTACCCGAAACGTCATCAATTCGTACGTTATAAAAAAAAAAAATAATTTACCCCTATCACGATCATCATTATTATTATTATCGTTTTCATCATTTCGGGGTGATTTTTACTTCCGGTTTTTCGATACCCGACAACAATTATTATTATTATCATCATCCTTGAAATATTTTTTTTCTAAAATTTTTTATTCATAAATAATTAAGCGATTTTCCATTCGAGTAAATCAATTAAATTAATAATAATAAATCCGTTAAAGTATTTTTCCCCCTCCCTCTCTTCACCACTCCCCCCTTTTTTTATATCGAAAGTTAACAAAGCAATAATAATAATAATAATGATAATGATAATGAATTTCATTCCAATTAAATTAAATCAATTAAAAAAATAATAATAAAAATTAAACGGAATTTTCTCTTTCTCTCTCTCTCTCTCCCTCTTAGTTTTTAATAAACCGCAAAAAATCTTTGTCTATCATTTTTCAATGAATTTCATTATCATTATCATTATCATTATTATTATTATTATTTTCGTTTTTCTAACCTTCTCCTCGTCGTCGTCGTCGACCTTTAATATTTCTTTAATATTCAAATTAAAATCTTGTTGAATTTAATTTTTAATTTTTCAAACAAAAAAAGAAATGAAAAAAAATGTAAAAAGAAAAACTTTAGTCGGGAAAGCGATGAGAAAAAAGAGATAGAATGACAAAGAGAGACAGAGAGAGAAAGAAAAAAACAATCGTCTTCTGCTTTTTCCGAGCGAAAAAAAAAGTTTAAAATCTCTTAAACAAATAAAAATGCATATTTACTTCATGTATATAAAAGTTTTTAATTTCCTTCTTTGGGTTTATTTTATTAAATTCTAATACCACGTTTATTATTTATTCATTTATTATTATTATTATTATTATTATTATTATCATTCGTTTCGAAGAATAATAATTATGATAATAATGATAATAATGACCGATTCAATGAGATTTCCCATTTAATTTAATTATATAAAACAAGGAAGTTCCTTTTTTTTGAATTATTTAATATGAAAAAAAAATTTTTTTGACGTCCGATAAGTAGCAGACGACGACGACGACGTCGATGATAATAATAATAATGATAATGATAATGATAATATAAACATTGAAAATGTAAACACACAAACACGTTTTCTCACACGTATGTATATAAATATATATGACGCGAGGGATTAATTTAATTTTTTTTTTATTATCAATTTATTACTATTTTCGAAACGCCGATAATAATAATAATAATAATTTTCGAACTTTTAAAAAGTTATTAAAATAATAATAATAATAATAATAAAATTTAATTAAATCGTGTGTTTAAATATGACTTTGAAAAAAAAAAAAAAAGTTTGTCGACGTTTTAAAAAAAAAAAAAAAATTGTTTACGGTAATAAAAAAAAAAAATGAAAATGAAAATGAACGTTTTCGTTTGTTCCCCTCCCCCCTACTCTTACCCTACTCCTTCCTTTACCCTCCCCTCCCGCTCCTTTTACCCTCCCTCCTTCCCCGTTTTTCCTTCTTTAACCCCCAAATTAATTTTTTCTTTCTTTCTTTCTTTATTTACCCCTAAACATTGAAACCCCGTCTCCGTCGTCGTCGCTCCCACCCTCGACTCCGCTCCCCCCACCACCACTTCCCTTTCCGTCTCCGTTCCAAAAATAAAAAGAAAAACGTTTTTCTTTTCGCTTCCGTGAGTGTTTTGAAAAAGAAAAACGTAAAATGTGGAGTCACATAGAGAGTGATCAACCTTTTCTTTCCAAGTTTTACACGCAACTGGAAAAACAATTATTCAAACCCGTCTTGTTTCTTTTATTTTTTCCTGGAGAGAAGAGAAAGTTTTTTTTTTTTTAAGAGGTCGGGGGGTGAAGTATTATTATTATTATCATTACTACTGTCGTACCTTTAAAAAAAACTAAATTTTAACACGGGTGACACTTTAAATTTAATTCTATTTTTTTCTAGTAAAAACGAATTCGTATCCCTTGAGCATTTAACCTTTAACCTTTAACCCTCGTTTCGTAATTTCCCCTTCCCCTCACTTCCCACCAACACGTGCATATTTCGTAGCAGACGACGAATCGTTTTTATTATTATTATTTTTTTTTTATTTCAGAAAAAAAAGAAAATGTTTTTTTCTCCCCCCCACCCCCCAATTTTTTTTTATAATAAATTTTTTTTTTCCTTTTAAAAATATTACTATTATTATCATTATTATCATTTTGACCTTTGTTTCAAATGGAAAAGTTTTCCTTTTTTCTTCTTCTTGTTTTTTTCATAAGTTTAGTGGGTCAGAATATTTTTTTTTTGTTCAAATCGTTTTATAACACTTTTCCTTTGAATTTTTTCCAGAAAAAAAAGTTATTATATCTTCAAATTTATCGATTTTTTTTTCGAAGGGTGGAGGGGGGGAGAGAAAAATTTATTAATGAATGACGTCACAACGGTAAAAATTAAATATTTTCTCGTTTTTTTCGGTGGGGGTGAGGGGGCGACGGGTGGGGGGATATAAAAGCGTAAAACAAATTGGTTTTAATTTATGTTGTTATTTTTTTACGGGGATTATTCGTAAATTTCATATTTTTTCTCCAGGAAATTTATTTTCTCCATAAAAAATTATTCGTGTACGGAAGTTAATCATCGTGATTAATTATAACTCGGAATAAAATTTAAATGATAATAGTAATAATAAATATCACGCGTCGGATAAAGAGAAAAATTATTATTTTGTATAAAAAAAAACAAGATGGCGACGAATATGTATAAATAATTTCCTAAGTTACACCTTAAACCATTATCAATACGAACGAAAAAACTTAAAACGTCTCGTATTATTATCATTATTATTAATATTTTTCAATAAAAAACCTTTTTCCCTATTTAACTTTTTAAAAAAAAAAAAAAAATTTTAAGGCGAAATGGAAACCCCCAACGGACCCCCCCCACCACTTTTCGAATGCGGTTTAGTGGAAAAATTTCCCATTTTTTTTCCAAAGCAATAAAATAAAAAAAAAAAAAGAAACAAAATTGAATTTGATGACATTTTTTTTATTTATATGTAGAGAAAATCTATTTAAAAAAATCGGATGCCCGATGTTTTCCAGCTTCCCCCCTCCTCCCTCCCCCCCCAAAATCAAAAAAATTTATTTGTTTTTTTTTTTCGAATCGACAGTACGTGTCTTTGTTGAGGCCTCCTTTGGGTGAATCTTACGAATTAGGAGCGGATACGGTTGACAAACAGGAATGGAAACAGGTACGAACGATTCATTTTCATTAAAAAAAAAAATCCCCCCGCCCCGCCCCTCGCGTCGATTTTTCACCATCATTATTATCATCATTAAAGGTATTCGATTTATTATGGAGCGATCCTCAAGGTCATAACGGTTGCATACCCAATTCTCTAAGGGGTGCCGGAACTTATTTCGGACCGGATGTGACAAAAAAATTTTTAGAAAAAAATAAAATGCTTTTTCTCGTACGGAGTCACGAATGTAAACCCTGGGGATACGAAATGGCACACGACGACAAAGTAAGTCTTAATCGATCGATACATCGATCGATTAATCGATTTTTATAATGGCAATTATTTTTTGCATATTCAAACAGGTGATAACAATTTTTTCCGCGTCAAATTATTACGAAACGGGATCAAACAAAGGAGCTTACCTTAAATTAACCGGAAGTGATTTGATGCCTCATTTCGTACAGTTCAACACGTTCACGAACAGGATGAGAAAAATGACGTTCAGACAAAGAGTCGGACTCATCGAATGTTCAGCACTACGTGAACTCTCTCAGAAAATATCATCTGTAAGAAATCAATTAATGGATGAATTTAATAAATGCGATACGAATAAAACAGGTAATCGTTATTGGCGTCCATTTTGTTTTTAAAGTTTCCGTAAAATTAATCCGCGTTCGTAAAAAAAAAAAAAAATGTTCTGGAATCATTTCCGTCTGGAAATTTCATTCTCGTAACAATTTTCATTAATTGTAAAAAAAAAAAAAAGAAAATTTTTTTTCTTATTTATAAACAGTATGAAATTACATCCGACCCGAAAGAAAAATTGTTACGTCATCGTTCATCGTCGTCGTCTGCATTATTAATCTTTCTACTATTTCTATTGTTTGTTTAATTTATAAAAAGATTTTTTTTTTTGTAATGGCGAAAGATATGAAACAATATAAAATATTATTTAAATTAGGTAAAATATCAATAACGAATTGGTGCGAAATCATGGAAAAATGTACCGGACTTAGAATACCCTGGAGAATGCTTAAAGAAAAACTCGTCGCCATTGATAAGGAAACGGGTAAAGCTATTTATGGAACAACATTCCACGATCACGTTCCAGGACCTAAAATAAGTAAAGTAACCGTCGTTGAAACGTTATATAGAAATAAAACGAATCTCGAATCGATATTTAGAATAATCGATAAAGATAATTCAGGTATTCCTGTTGTTCTCGTTGTTTGTCGTTTGTCGTTTGTTTATTTTCCTTAACATGGAAATTTTTTTCCTTACCAGGTTACATAACACTCGATGAATTTTCCGTTGCTTGTTCGTTATTGGCCAAACACATGCCAGAATCGGTACCGGAAGAACAACTTTTAGATATATGCAGATCGATGGATATAAATAAAGATGGTCAAGTGGATTTGAACGAATTTTTAGAAACTTTCCGATTGGTCGACATACACAATGAAATGGAAAGTCCGACCGATGAATTCGATGATAGTCCAGATGGTGGAGGAGGAACGTGCGAAACTGGAAAATAAAAAAAAAAAATTTTAAGAAATTAAAAAAAAAAAATTATTTGTACTTTATGAAAGTTATGGAACCTTCCCCCTACCCCCCCCTCTCTCTCTCTCTCATATTTTTTTACCCTTGTTCCTTACGTTCATTTGTGTTTTAATTAATCAGGAGCGTGTCAAGGACTAAATTAAATGACGTCATCGTATTATCGTTTACGTAATTTTTTTTTTTCTTTGTTTATTTTATATTCGCGCTCACCCTCCCCTCCCCCTACCCTTATTATAATTATTAATTAAAATTCTTATAAGTGTAATGGAAAATTACGTTTTTCTTTTTTTTTTTACTTCTCCAGATTTTTTTTACTGGAGAAAAACAAAAAAAAAAATTCGAAATAAATATTATATATTTTTTTATTTGTTTTGAAATATGTTTTTTTTTTTTTTCAAATGATGATAATAATAATTATGTAAAAGAATATTTATATATATATATATATATATTAAATTATTTATTTATGTACTACTATTATTCTCTCGTATGGAAAAAAAGACTGGAAGCTAAAGTTTTTTTTTTTTTTTTTTTGGAAAAAAAAATCGATTGTATTATTGTATTTAAAATAAAATAAAAATAAATTAATAAAATCAATTACGTCGATTTAATTTTTTTTACCTACTCGCATTGTTTAAAACAATAATTAATTAACGTGATGATAATAATAATTAATTAATTTTATTTAATAATAATTATTATTAATAATATTTTTTCACGTTTTTAAATTTAACGATACTTGGAAGTTTTTTTTTTAAAAATAAAAAGCGACATTTTTTGATTTTTTTAAAAACTAAAATAATAAAACAGTTGTGACGTCACACACGAATACACGTTAAAAGGTAGCGAACTCTTTTGGAAATTTTTAAAACTAAAAAATTTGATATTTAAATTACACGTGCGTACTTTCTACAAATCAAAACATATAAAACACAAAAAAGGGAGGGAAAAAAATGGCGAATAAAACTTTTATAATATAAATATTAAAAATTCGTAATAATTTATCCAAAACGCGAAGTTACGTCGTCATAAATAATCGTATTCTCATACCTAAACTCCATAAAAAGCGTTTCTCCATTATTAATAATACAATTAAAAATACAAAAAAAAAAAAAAATTTTTTTCCAATCCAACTTTTGCCTTTTATAATAAATCAGGTATAAATAAAATTTTTTTAAGGTTTCCTTTTTTTTTATACTAATAAAGGAATGAAAACGGTGGGAAAAACTCAAAAAAAAAAAAAGAAAAGAAAAGAAAAAATTACAGTAGCAGACGCTTTGATTAACCTTTAAAACCTTGTTTAAATATAAAAAAAAATCTGTTGTTCTGATTTAAAATTAACAAAAAAAAAAAAAAAAAAAAACCTAATAATAATAATAATAATTTAACGATTTTGTTTTTTTTTTTTTTTTTTTTTTTTTTTTTCAAAACAAGTTTTTTTTTTTTTTTTCGTCTTTTAACGTTCTTTGAAAAATAAAAATAAAAAAAAAAAAAATAGGGAAAATGGCGGGACGGGAAAACTTGCCCCCCACCCCCCCAAAAAAAAAAAAAAAAAAAAAAGAATATCCAATGAATCGAAATAAAAAAAAAAAAAAAAAAAAATTGTTTTTTCTTTTTAAATTCTATAGAAAATATTTATAAAATCATTAACCCTTGTAATTTAATAATAACAAACAACAAACAACAACCAACAACCGACAACAAAATTTTTTAAACGATTCTTACTTTAAAAAAAAATAAAAAATAAAAATAAATTTTCAAATTATTAAAAATTTTAAAAAATTTATATCAATTTCCGCGCCATTTTTATTTTTGAACTCACATTCTAATTCCACGACTTTTTTTTTAAATAAATGATTTCAATTAAAGAACGAAACGAGAAACGTTTTAAAGTAAAGAGAGCGCAAAAAAAATTAAAAATAAATTTCCTAGCAAAACCAGTTTTTAAAATTTTTTTTGCTCCGGGTAAATTTTTGCTCCGTCGTAAAAAATTAATAATAAAAATTACAAACAAAACTCCGGAAACGAAAAAAAAAAAAAAAAAAAAAAAAATTTTCTTTTTTCGAATTATTTTCATATCGTATTAAATGATTATGTAAAAAAAAAAAAAAAATTCTCCACGCGACTTGGCAATTCTTATTTTGGACAAAAAAAAAATCGTTAACGAGATTCTAAGAATTAATTTAAACAAAAAAAAAAAAAAGAAAATTATTGCCTGGAGAAAAAAAAAATAAAAAGATTTTGAACAAAATGAATCAAATTTAAAATGACGAATCGTGCCACGATTAAAAATGAGACACGAAATTTCTCTCTCTCTCTCTCTCTCTCTGTACCGGATGTGGACCCTCGTGTGTGTTTGTGTGTCCGCTACTCGTGTTTGCAAAAACCTCAATGACGACATTTAAAAAAAATTTTTTTTTTTTTTTTTTACTTTCGAATAATTTAACCGTTGATTAATAATTAAAATCGAAAAACCGGAAATGAAATTCGTGAACAAATTTATAAGATTTAAAATTTTTTTTTAAGCTCGCAGCATCCCTAAGACACACAGATAGACTTAAGTATCTCGTTGCGTTTTCAATCACGTGATTGAAAATGTGTGTGTGTGGGTGCGTGAATGCATGCGTACGTGTCTTGGAGTGCGTGTGCTTTATTAATGTTTATAAATAAAAATTACGTGTATCCTATTATGAATGAAAAATTTAATTTGGAGATTTTTTATGCGCCATATTATCAATACTCCGAAAATCGTTTTCTGTCTGTTTTTAAAACATAATCGATGATGTCACCGCTCGTAATGTTTGTTGTCACTGTTGTTGTTGTTGTTGTTATCATAACATATGTCGATCGTAATTAAGTTAAATTTAATATTGAAATTGAGTGAGAAGAAGAAGAAGAGAAAGATGATGATGGAAACGAGAAAGAAAGAAATTTTTTTTTTTTTTTTTTACCCAAAAATTATTCGTTTCTTAATAATTTTCAGGTATTTTCTCTCTCTCTCTGTCTCTGAGTGTGTCTGTATATGTGTGAGTATCTCTCTCTCTCTCTCTCTCTCTCTCTCTCTCTCTCTCTCTCTCTGTATGTACTTGTGTGTGCGTCTCTTTCTCTCTCTCTATCTCCGTGTGTGTGTGCGTCTCTTTCTCTCTTTCTCTGTATGAGAGTGTGAGTGCGTCTCTTTCTGTATGTGTGTGTGTGTGTTTCTCTCCTTCTCCCTCTATCTCTCTGTCTTCACCTCTCTCTAAATCTCTCTCTGCGTTTCCCCCTCACTCTCTCTCTGTCTCTCTCTCTCTCTTTTCTTCTCATTCTTTTCTCTTCGATTGTGATTATACGAATTACAATAACAAAAAAGAAAAAAAAACGTTTCATATTCAATTGTGTGACGTTTTGTTCGTTGAATTAATTAATATGAATATTCACCCATTGTGCGTGAGTGCGTGTGCGTTTTTATTAAGGCGAAAAAGTTCACAAATAAAAGATACGTATAAAATTTAAAAAAAAAGTGTCAGCAGATTCGTATTAATTTTATCAAAAATAAATTTAAAACGAAGAAAAAAAAATCAAAAACGAGAATTAAGAATTTTCGAAGGGATGAGAATGACACGATTCAAAATGGGAAAAGTTATAAATTCGTTCGTGGCACAAGATAAACAATGAAAAGAAAACAACACAATGAACGATTTAAAAAAAAAAAAAAAAAGGAGGAGAAAGAACCTGACGTACAGAATCTTCTACACGCACACACACACGTTTTATCTTTTTTTCCAACTTCTTATCACTTCGGTAATGAATTAATGAAATGCGTTTTGCATGTAAAATCAGATCTTTCATTGTTATGTTAACCCGAATGACATGTCCACCATGTCATTGAAGTTTAAATGAGACCAAATCATCATTTTTTATTTGTCACACACACGCACACGCATACGCGCACGCACACACGCACACGCATACGCGCACGCACACACGCACACAAACTTCAATTCGATTTTTTTTTTTTTTAATTTAATTCCGTCACCAAAACTTATTCAAATCGAGTCTGACGTAGACTCCCCCCCCTCCCTAATTTTTTTTCAACTCTTTCATCGTCAAAAAATCTTCTACGTTCATTCATTATCATTATCATTATCATTATTATTATTATTATTTCCTATCCAGAAAAAAACCTCTTACGAACGTTCACTTATTAAAATTAAGAGAAACGGAAAGAAAAGAAAAAGAAATTAAATTCGATTCAATCTATTTTTTTTTTTTTACCTTCATTTATCATTATTATTATTATTATTATTATTATTATTTTAAAGTGATTTCCGTAACCGATTTGCTCTCGTTCAGATTTTTTTTATAAATTTGACGTCGGTATTTTTTTTTTTTTAAATTAAATCAGCAACCGTGAAATGACGTCCAGTCATTGATCAAATTCAATGATCAAATTTTTACAATTTTTTTTTTTTTAAAGTATTATTATTATTATTATTATTATTATTATTATTAATTGCTTACGTCATTCTCTTTTTAAAAATCCGACAAACGGGATTCGTTGATTTTTATACGACGACAAAATGATTTTTTTTTACGTCACGAAAAACCGTTAAAGTAAAAACTGATTTTTTGTCTAAAACAAAAAAACCGAACGTTCGAATTATTTATATTTTTCAAAAAATAAAATCGTATTCGGAAACATCAACGCACACGCACACGCACTAACTCCTTCCACGTACTTGTAAAAAAAAAAAAAAAAAGTCGTGGAAAAAGAAAACCGGAAACGTCCAAAAAAAAAAAGAAAATGACTTATCGTTACTTTTCCACTATTTTCTTTTTTTCTTTAGGAAACGAACGATAAGAATTTTTATAAGAATCGATCACATTATAAAAAATAATAATAATAATAATAATAATAAACGTAATTCGAATAATAATAATAATAATAATAATAACTATTATCATTATTATTATTTATTTCGTCACGGTGATTTCAAACGGATTAATTTTCTTAAAAAACGAACCTGAATTAAGGTTAACTCGGTAACAAAAACCTTTCAAAAAAAAAAAAAAAAAAAAAATCAAACGATGTGAAATCGATAATCGATTGATGATGATTCGACAAAATAACAATAATAATAATAATAATAATAATAATAATAATGATGATGATGATGATGATGATGATGATTA